GCTGCATAAAGAATTTTTTCTGCTGAGGGTTGAGAGATGTATTCATCTATGGGTATATCAGTAAGTTACTAGAGATCAATTTAATCTATTTTTTAAAGAAATATTTATTATTTTAATTTTATGTGTATGCGTGTAATTGCCTGCATGTAGGTAAGTGCACCTGTGTCATGCAATGCCCACAGAGAACAGAAGAGGCTTTCGGATCCCCTGGAACTGGAGTTATGGACAGTTGTTAGCTGCCATGTGGGTGCTGGGATTTAAACCTGGGTCTTCTGCAAGAACGGTCAGTGTTTTAATGGCTGAGCCATCTCTCCAGCCCCCAGTTTAATCTATTTAGCAGAATAATTGTATTATGCTTTTCCCCCTGGCCTGTGGACTATTATAGCCTTAGGCTCCTAGGCCTGATACCAGTGTCAGTTATGGGCTCCATCCTGTGAAATAGACCTTAAAGTAGTTAGTTACTCTTATAATATTCGTGCCACTATTGCACAGTAGGCATATCTTCCAATTGTAGTTCACAGGATTCACAGCTGGGTAAAGTTCATGCTGAATTTTCTTGTCAGGCAGCTTGTATAGCACCGTCCGTCACTGTGAAAGTTAGGCAGTGTAGCTGAGGCTTGGAAGTCAGTACCAGCTTGTTTTCTTTTTGTCTGTTCTACAGTTCATGCTTGTAGTGTTTCTGCAGTAGGGTCTTAATGTGAAGTTCTGCTGTGTAACCAAGAGCAGGGCAATGACCAGTATTGTTTGAGGGTCTTTGAGATGCCCGGTCAACAACTTTGAGGGAGTTCATTCCTGCACTGGGCCTTTTCTTTGCAAGCCTATGGTGTCTAGATGGGGAACCTCCCCCCACATTATAAGGTAACTCCTTTTAATCTCTTTTTGTATTATATACGTGTGTACTTTTAAGTAGCTTCTATAATGTTAGGTTTCCATATGGCTTTTTCTAAAGGTCTTCAGTGCTGGTTAGCCCTCCCTGTCCTCCCTTCTCTGCCTTGCCCTCCTGTTCCTCACCCCATTTAACCCTTTCCTACTCTATTATTCCTTTCTCCTTAATATCATTGCAGTCTGTCTTTTCTCCTGGGGAACTCCCACCTCCTCCTGCCCGTGGACATATATAAGTTATTGACCTCTAGATTTTTTAAAAATTTTGTTATTTTTATTTTATGTGTGTGTATTGCCTGCATGTATGTGAGTGCACCCATGTCATGCAATGCCACGGAGGTCAGAAGAGGGCTTCAGACTCCCCTGGAACTGGAGTTAGGATGGTTCATAGCTGCCATGTGGGTGCTGGGAATTGAACCTGGGTCTTCTGCAAGAGCAGTCAGTGCTCTTAACCACTGAGCCATCTCTCCAGCCCCAACCTCTCTAGATTTTGAAATAGAAACATCCATAAGATTTCACAGCTAGCATCCAGTTATGAGAGAGAACACGTGATGTTTGGTTTTCTGAGTCCGGGTCACCTCACTCAGATGGTTTTTTTTTTTTTCCTCCAGTTTCTCCATTTATTTGTGAATTTCATAATTTCATTTTAAAAATATATTTATTTTTATTTTATTTGTATGAGCCTATTGCCTGCTTGTGTTTGTAAATGTACCTGTGTTGTGCAGTGCCCACAGAGGTCAGAAGAGGGTGTTGGATTCTGCTGGATCTGAAGTTAGGGACAGTTGTTAGCTGCCATGTGGGTTCTGGGAATCGAACCTGATTCCTCTGTAAGAGCAGTCAGTGCTCTAAACTGCTGACCCACTTCTCCAGCCCTCATAATTTCGGTTTTTAAAGAGTTGAATGATATTCCATTGTATACATGTTCTGCACCCTCATTATTCATTCATCAGATGATGGACATCTGCTTTGTTTCCAATTCCTGGCTATTACAGAAAGTACAGCAATAAATATGAATGAGCAGGTATTTCTGTAGTAGGATATGGAGTGTTTTGGGTACATGCCCAAGAGTGGTATGGCTGGACCAAATGGTAGATCAGTTTCTAACTTTTTGAGGACTCTCCACAAAAAGATTTCCATAGTAGCAGCACCTGTTTATACTCTCAACCTTGGTGGATAAGGGTTCCCCTTTCTCCACGTCCTCACCAGCATGGTACCCTTTGCTGTACAGAAGCTTTTTAGTTCACAAGGTCCCATTTATCAATAGTTGGACTTAGTGCTTACGCTATAGGAGTTCTGTTCAGAAAGTTCTTTTTTGTGCCTATGAGTTCCAATGTATTCCCTCCTTTCTCCTCTGTCCGATTCAGGGTATCAGGTCTTATTTTGAGGTTCTTGATGTTTTTGGAGTTTTTTGTGCATAGTGAGAAAGAGGATCCAGTTTCATTCCTCTACATGTCATCATCCAACACTAGTTTGACTAGCACAATTTGTTGAACATGCTCTTTTCTCCAGTGTGTGTTTGTGACTCCTTTGTCAAAAATCAGGTGGCTGTAAAACTGTGGGTTTAAATCTGGGTCCTCGGTTCTGTTTCTCAGTTTTCAGTGCCCACTGTGTCTGCTTTTATGCTGGCACCATGCAGTGTTTATTACTAACCTCTGCAGCACAAAGAAGTCAGGGGTGATAATGCCTCCAACATTAATTTTGTGAGGGGGTCTTTTTGAGACAGGGTCCCCTGTAGCTCCAGTTGGTCTGATATACACTATGTAGACTAGGCTGGCCTCAATCTGACGGAGATCCACCTGCCCCTGACTCTCAAGTGCTGGGATTAAAGGTGTGTGCTACCACACCTAACTTCTAGCAGTTCATTTATTGTTCAGGATTATTTTGGCTATTCTGAGTTTTTTGTTTCCATATGAAATTTGAGATTATTGTTCCAATTCCTGTGAAGAATCGTGTTAGAATTTTAATGGTTATTGCATTGAATTTGTAGGTTGCTTTCAGTAGGATGGTCATTTTCACAATATTAATCCTGCCAATCTTGGGAGGTCTTTCCATCTTCTGGTATCTTCTTCAATTACTTTCTTCAGTGTCTTAAAGTTTTTATTATACAAGTCCTTCACTTCCTCTGTCAGATTTATACCAAGATACTGTATGGTTTTTGAAGTTGTTCTGAATGGGATCATTTCCTATATTTCTTTCTCTGTATGTTTGTTGCTGGTATATAGGAAGGCTGCTGATTTGGGGGATGTTAATTTTATATCCTGCTGTTTTGCTGAACGAATGTATTAGTTCTAGTTTTCTGGTGGTGACTTTAGGTTTTTTTTATGCATATAATCATGTCATTTGCAAATAAGGATACTTTGACTATTTCCTTTCCAATTTTCATCCCCTTTATCTCTTGTTTGTTTGTTGCTCTGGCTAAAAGACTTCCAAGTACTGTATTGAACAGGAATGGGGAGAGTGGACATCCTTGTCTTGTTCCAGATTTTAGTGGGAATGCTTTCAGTTTTTCTCCATTTAGTATGATGTTGGCTGTGGGTTTGTGGTATATTGCCTTTATTATGCTGAGATATGTCCCCCATATTCCTAGAGTCTCCATGACATTTTCTCATGAATGGATGTTGGATTTTGTCAAATGCTTTTTCTGTATTTAATGAAATGACTTATGATTTCTGTCCTTGAGTCTGTATATGTGGTAGGTTACATTTATGGATTTGTGTATGTTGAACCATCCCTGTATCCCTGGGGTAAAGCCAACTTGATCATGGTGGAAACTTTTTAATGTGTTCTTGCATTCTGTTTATGAGTATTTTATTGAGACTTTTTGCTTATATGTTCATCAGAGAGATCGGGCTATAATTTCCTTTTTTTTTTTTTTTGTTAGGTCTTTTGTTTTTGTATTAGTGTAATACTAGCTTCAGAGGAAGAATTTGGGAGTGTTCCTTCATTTTCTCTTTTACAAAATAATTTGAGGAGTATTAGTATTAGTTCGTCTTTGAAGGTTTGGTCGAATTTGGTGCTATATACATTTGGTCCTCGGCTCTTTTTAGTTGGGAGATTTTTGTTTGTTATGTTGAAGAGAAATTTCATTGATTCAAGAATTTCATACAATGAATTTTTATTATATTCAAGCCTCCTCCCCCGTCTCCACCCTCACCTTACCCCATCCATCTTACATAATATCTCCAAGCCAGGTCCCAGAGAAATCATATCTCTTTGGAGTGTCAGTGATCTATAATTCTTACACAGGGGTGTGCCAAAGGGCCCACTCCCTGTCTTTTGTATGTGGTTTTGGGTCAGAATACGCCCAGGTTCCTTGGAATGGGATTTTTCATTCTTAATTTCTCTTTCTCTTACACACTGCCAAAAATGTCAAATAGAGACTTCTCTTTTTCTCATCTTTTGGAAACACTTGGTTTTCTTCATCGAAGTCGGTTGTTCACAGCTGTTCACAGCCCTTGCATGCAGGTTACATGTTGGCTATTTCCAGGCCTCACTCAGCGCAATGACCCTACTGTAGACCAAGGGAATTCTCCAACAGGTTAATTCTCTACAGGATTTTACTGTGGGTCAAGGCAGAAACTAAGTCCTCACAGCAGGCAACAGCTCACAGGCCTCCAGTCCAAGGTTCTGTGAGTGGCAGTTGGGAAGTTTCACAGCTTCACTCAACAGCTTTATACCGGAGTCCTCTAGCTTATTTTCTGAAATCTGTAGACTTCTCCGTAGCCAGGTTTTGACAGCCACTAGGTGATGATGGTGGTCTTCCATGGGACCATGGGTGCCACCAGGACATGTGGCCAGGCAGCTTGGTTTTCAGTTCCACCGTGCCAGTGTGCACAGTGGCCAGCTGGACTCTGCCTTGCCTTGCCTTGCCGGTGTGCATAGGGGGCCAGGCCAGTGTGGCTTCACCATCTTGGCTCTCTAATACTTTCTTTCTTACTTGCTAAGTCCTGAGTTCAGAATTTTGAGATCAATATAGAAGTGTCTATGACCGGGTAAATATTCATCTTGTGTGATCAGGTTCCTCATGTGGTCCATGGCAAACATTCAGTCTCTTGGGAGAGTCATTGGCCAGGAGTGCCTGATTCCTACAAAAAGACACCATCACTTTGAGCTCTTGTCATATTCTTTCTTATATGTATCAAAACTCATACTGAACAGTGAGTTCTGGATTGCAAAAGAGGATTATTTTTGCACATGCCTTTGATGTCTTTGTCCACCACTTGAACAAAAACACACGCAAATGCTTTGGGAAATTTTTAATTACTGCATTGATCTCATTGGTTGTTACGGGTCTATTTAAATTATGTCATTTCAGTTTAACTTTGATGGGCTATACATTTCTAGAAATCTATTTCTTTTAGATTTTTCTAGTTTAGTGGAATATAGTTGTTTTTTTTTGTTTTTGTTTTTGGTCTTTTTGAGACAGGGTCTCTCTGTAGCCCCAGCTGTCCTGGAGTTACTATGTAGACCAGGCTGGCCTTGAACTCAAAGAGATCCGCCTACCTAGTGCTGGGATTAAAGGTGTGTGCCACCACACCTGGCTGCAGTGCCTGCAGAGGCCATCCAATCCCTTGGAACTGGAGTTGTTAGCTGCCATGTGGTGCTGGGATTCGAACCCAGCTCTTCTGTAAGAACAGCCAGTTCTTAACTGCTGAGCCATCTCCCCAGCCCCTGGGTCAGCATTTTGAATCCCTGCCTTGTATCTTTGCTTGGGGAGCTGCTGGCTAGTTGCTTGCCTTGAAAACTTTCTGCCAGTGACTTCTGAGTCTGTTTCTCCTTTTGTCTCTGTCCTTTACCTCAAATTCTTAGTTTATTCAAAATAACTTAAAAGTGCAACCCACAGCATGTTGGGGACTGTTAGGGTGCTGATGCATTCTCCCCTTCCCACTTTCAAAAGTCTGCGCTCTCACATGTCCAGATGAGAAGAAACATTTGAAATGTCCTAATTTTTTTTTTATCTTTTTGAGATGGTCTCCCTGTAGTCCCAGCTGACTTGGAACTCACTATGTAGACCTGGTTGGCCTTGAACTCAGCCTCCCAAGTACTGGGACTACAGGCATGTGCCACCACACCTGGCAAGATGTCCAGAATTTAACTATGTGGGCCTGGGGGTGGAGGGAGAGAGGTGAGGGATGTAAATGAATTAACAGTTGCTCGCTAAAGTGTTAAAAAACTAGTCCATATCAATAGGTAAAAAGTTGTTGGAGAACGAGCGAATGAAGGAGGCGGCACCAAGACACAGATAAAACTGAGCGGATAGTGTCCCGACCCGCAGGACACTTTTACAGTGGCACGACGAGTGGGGGTCCTAGAAGGAATGACAAACAAGGAACACGAAGAAAGAGAGCAAGACAGTGTTCTGATCAAGCTCCAAAATTTTATTTGAAAGCAGCAGATATATATACTGGTAGTGGAAAAAGAGGGGGAGGTGAGGAGAAGGAAAGTGCTGGGCAGACACTAATTGGTGTTGTTGTATGCTATAGCTAGGGAGGGTTTATTCAAGGGGCATTTCTTATCCTAAAGGAACATCTGCTAACTGTCATGGTGAGCATAAAACATTTCTCAAGGCTGACTTAGCCTGGGTCACAAAGTTGTTTTTCTACATTCTTTAACTAAGTGCTATCTTATAGAAACTTACAGAAAACCATTAAGCTGTTTTTTCTCAAGGCCATAAAGATTTGCAGGAAACCATAAAGCTGTCTTTTTCTCAAAGCCATAAAGATGTTTCTCTTCTGGCCTTTTGGCTCCCAACATCTCCTCCCTTTTTTATTTATTAGAACAAATAACCAGACTCCTCCCATGAGGATTTTTGAAGGTTTCCTCACTGTTTTTGCTCTTGGTACTTTTGGGGAGGCAAGGCAGAGCAGTGGGGGACATTTGGGTCCCTGCCCGGGTGACTGCACCTGTCTTAGGTTGGAAGGGATCCCCCCCAAATCATACACCCATTATGGGATGAGGCAGCAGCTTAGGCGGCCCTCCTGTCTTAGGTGTTTTAGTGAGGGGGCCACTTCTCTTACCCGTCTCTGGCTGCCAGTCAAGCTCGGCGGGCAAAGATGAATGTACCAACCTCATGCTAGTCTGGTTTTTGATGGAAGTGAGAGGGAGTGGGGCCTAAGAAGGCCGTTTATAAGTCTGTAGTTGTTGCTGGGGGGAATCTAAGTGATCCATCATAAGCTGGACCATCAGAATCTGTCATTTCTAAACGTTGGTAATGAATTTGTATTGGCTTAGAGAGTAGTGAATCAATTTGTTGTTTAATAAGTCTAGTAAGCCTATTAAAGGCCCAAGGTCCAAAAGAAATTAAAAGTAATAATCCTATTAAGGGGCCAATTATGGCTGGTAAGAGAGAAGTGAGCCAAGAAGAGCCCGAGAACCAGCTTTCATACCAGGGTGTTTGTGA